CCCAGATTGTCACACAAAAATCAGGATTATTACCTTACATAAACCCTTAAGGGTAACGATCACAATATGATATCACATAGCACAACTTTATAAAGCTTTTTTCTCTTCTTGCACTGGATTGTCGAGTCGCTTTAGTAAGATGAGAGGAATAAAAAGAAGAATCCCTCCGACTGTGTAGCACTTCGTTGGACCGGTGAGCCAGAATACTTCAAAATGTGTAAAAAAAGGATTATTGATTGATGGAAAACAGAAAGGTCTTACGGGTAGATGCGACGATAGGTCCAATAGCTCTGGCCAAAGCGCCAATACTTCGGAATACTCCAGCTAAAGCACCTTTGTCTGTGTTTGGATGAACAGCAGACACCAGTGACGTTAGACAACTTACTACCGTAGCAGATGCTACAAAAAGATGGAAATATGAGTACTTACTTTGAATCTAAATACCCTACCTATGGCATATAGAAATAGTCCTAAATACAACATGTACTGATTAGTAGCTTGAGCAATGATTAAAAAGGCAGGGATCACACACATGATACCAAGTTCAGCTACACGTTTTTGTCTGTAAATTTAAAAATTATAACAAGACTTTTGGCAAACATTCACAACGTGCTCCAACATACTTAATCATCGGCGTCCTGCGTACAATTCGTCCTTGAATCGGCAACATCAAAAGACCAGTGAAAAGATAAATTTTCCCTTGTTGCATGCTGAAACATTACTAGAGTACAAACTGCAAGATTGGAATTAATTTAAGAAGAACGTCGCAAATCGGCTTATAATCAAATAATTCAAATTTATTCAAAGTGCAAAATTTTTTCCAAGATTTCATAAACGTTGAGAGCTTATCTGTCTAAGCGGTGGCACGCTTTTCTTCAAAATCATAATTTCTTTGAATAATCTTGAATCAGCTGATGCAACTATGTGGAAGCTCGATAATATATTCACTATAGTCTAATTTCTTTGATTTTTTAGTCAAAAAATTTCAATGGGCGAAAATCGCACAGACATGACATTTCTTTTTAGGCGTTGAAAAATTTCTTTTGAGAAAATAGTCCAGAACAGCAAAATTCCCATGCCATTTGCCTTGATTACTATCCGCTTTTTTTCTTTATGTGATTTTAACAGAAATCAGATAGTTGTAAGTAAATTTAATTAAAATTGCAGAATATAAAGATCAAAAACAAAAGCAATACTTTTCAAAGATCTCTACTAACCTGTCGAACTTGAACCTCAGGTGTGTAAGAAATGGAAGTGTGAATTCCAATCCAGCGTACAGGAACAAATAAATGAAATAAATAGTGCCAATTTTCTGCATTGTTTGCTTTTCTAAAATAAAAAGTATATGTTTCGTGATAGCGAAAAATCCAGAAAAGCAAGTACTTTCTGTAGGAGCATTAACAGCTGAAAATTTGAAAAGTTCCATTGGCATAACAAGATGTTTGGCTTTGCTGGTAATATCTTCTGATGCTTTCTGAAATAAAAATTGCGATTTGTAATTGCCGCTCCTTCCAACTTTTACTTACCCTGTCTTCATATCGCAAAGTTTCCGGAAGAAGAAACGCTACCAAAAGGAAATGGATGCATGTAAGAACAATGGAGAATATTGCTGGTGTAGTGTGCAACGCATTCTGAGTAATGCTTGGGTTAAATTTGATAGATTACCAAAGAATTAGCTTTGTTTTACTTAATCAAAGACCCTGTGGTTATGATGAAAGCTTACGAAAAAAGTAAATATTAACCTTTGGCGCAATTGTAGAGAAGTACGCGCCAAACATAGGACCAATCAAAAATCCCACAGAATATGAGATACCGATGAGTGCCTAGATTTCACTGAAGAATTTTTGCGGCTGTATCTGGAATAATTTTGACCTAACCATTCCCTTCGCATTGTCTTCAGGCTTATATACATCGGTAACAATAGCTGTTGCTACATTTATGTTCGCCTTACTCAAACCTCCAATGACCCTGCTCAATACAAAGATGGAGAACGTCTCGGCACGTAACCATATCTAAAATTTGCACTCCGTGGACATTGCCAAATACAAGTTGGGTTAAATGTTACCATGTAAGATATCAGAGTTCCTATGCAAGAAAGCAGCAGCATCGTTCGTCGACCATAAACGTCAGAAAGTGCTCCGAGAGTAGGTGAAGCCAGAAATTGCAATGCGCTGAACATTGATCCAAGAAGGCCTACAAAGACGAGAATTGAATACTTCTTACCACTTATGGGGCTTTGTAAATTCTTACCTCCAAAAAATACGTTGTTAAATTTCTCGCTATGTGGCACTCCAAGTAAAGATTGAAATGATTTTAGTAGCGAATTGAAAACATCATACATGTAGTCCTAAAATCCAGAGGGGAATTGTTTTTTGTTGCAGTCTTAGATGTCAGTACAAAATAAGTAAGAAGTAAAACTTACCCGATGCTCGCTTTTAGCGTAAAAATTCAGAATACTTGGGAATAATGGTAATATACAAGTGAATGCAAACATATCGATAATAAGTGATGGAATTAGAACTCGCATCACATTGCGATTTGCCAACGGCGGCTCAGCCGCACTCATCTGGATCTGAAATGTAATCGTTAATGTTCTTTTCAACATTAACTGGAATATATAAGAGTATGAAGCCAACATGAATTTCATGAACTATCAATGAAATCTTGAGATTATCTGGTTTAATAAATATCATTCTTTTGAGAAAAGGAGCAACTGTCATCTGGGTATAATGGCAAAACTAAGTAATTTTCAGTTAAACATATCGGTAAACTTATCTGAAAATCTAACGAAAAAGCGTTACAAACTTAACGAAACTCTTAGCGATTCATCACATGACTTGAAATAACCAGAAGATAATTCAAGTAATTTGTTATTTGCTTGCAAAGAGACGGAAGACTTTGATCGAAGTAGCGTAAATTAGTAAATGCAATAATCACTGATGCTCTAATGTGAGCAGATCCATTGTTGTCCAATTCATTCGTATTGATAGTTGCGTTTCTCATATGGAATCCTTGCTATACTTACACAAATCATATCAAAATACATTCTATATACTAAAACTTAGATTCTTTACAGTGATGTATGGAAAAGATTGGTGGACAGTTCTCAATTTGTTCCTCTGTGAAAATATAAAGTATTGTTATTATATCCAGTTTCACTTTGCCATGACTTTTCATACGATATAGCTAAGTCTAGACCTTCACAAACTTATTGAAAAACAATCCTTATATAAATGAGAGATCTCCAAAGTTGAGAATAATTGAAAAAACTATGAAGCTCTGACAACGAAATAACTCAAAGCAGCTTTAAGAAGCCATAAATCTGCATCCTGCAAATTTTAATCAACTGTTTCTTTCCTTAAGCTCTTTTGTAATCACTTTCACGAGCAATAACATTTTAAGTTATAGGCAAGGTGAGTCACAAAGATTCGAACTGCACTCAAATAGTTTATACAGATTTGTAGTTAATAAGATTTAACAAATTATCTTTGAAAATTGAATTCTATGTATTCACTTCCGTTTCCTGCCGAATTTACAAATCGCAGTCACTATTTCAATAGTTTAAAAATAGAGAAAAGGGTCCAGAAGCATGCAGATGGATTAAACCATTGTAAAAGAGCAATAGAAAATGTAACCAAATTTCCTGCCAAGTGACATGAGTTTTATGGGAAAAAAAGTCTAATGCCGCGGTGTGTCCATTATTCAAGCGGCATGCTGTGCATTATTTGCGTAAAAGATCAACTACTTCCTAAACATGAGAAAATCCTGTGTTTATCATTTTTTGCAGAATCTCAAATCAAGTTTCTTCGATTAACAGCAATTTGAGTGCAGAAAAGGTCTAAAGCAGTCGCCTAATAAACGGTCTCTTACCTCCCAAAACACCTAAAGTATCGAAATGTCAGTCCTCAATTGAAGCATTAGTATTATGAAGAATGAATTATAATTTATAACAGTTTGAGTTGAGAGGTACAAGAAGTTGCGATTTAGTAGTAAAAATCAGAAGAATGCTCTTATGGTTTTTTGACATTTTGATAAGCTGTAAAATTACAACGATACTTGCAAAGAAATTGCAGTCAGACATTACTGTCTGTGGAAAAAGCTGTAAAAAACAAAAAAATGGTTATGTAAAAAGAAGTGGTTTTCGAGGAAGAGAAGAGGATGAGCGGATAACATTGAGAACAAACTCAGCACTCACAACGGCATCATGTCTGTACCAAAGATCTTTTAGAAATGATGTTAAATCAAAAATTAAGCAGTCT